CCCACCCAGTCCTTAGGCAAATACCGCTGCAGGAGCAGCCCCATTCTAGTGGATTTGGGGCAAGCCCAAGGATAGCAATGTCATATTTTTACACTATAGCAGAGAGCTAAAAGAAACCAGTTACGTGACTGTGGGAAACCAGAATGCAGGAATGGGGAGCCTGTTCCTGCTGTACCTACTTCTACTAATGATTTAATGCCCGAGTGCTGCTGTTACTGTGTACATGCTGCAGATAACTGCACTGTAGATACCCCAAGGGAAGGATATTAAAGAGCATTGGGCATGACACTAGATTTTTTGCTGTTCTGGTGAGGGAGCACAACAACATAGACTTCCTTTCATCAAAATGTTCTTCTTGGTCATCTTGCAATGAAGTCCGTGGCTGTATATTCTGAAAGGCATAGGGCAGATATCAGAAAATGTTCTTAGTATTAGATATATGGGATTAAATACTATGGGGTATGGAACAATCCTCAGGGTATGCTCCTGTTTCTGACTGTGCATGGCTTGTGAAAGATGGGCAATAGCACTTATAATATGCCTACCTTCCCATTAGTGGTCCTGGTTCATATGATGGAATATTTAAGGATATATGACATTGCAGAACTTGCCTATTAGCACATACCCACCAACTAGGATGCTACTGGGAGCATGGCATCTTCTGAACTGAGATTATATAAATGAGTAAAGTTGCTTTTCAAGAACTGGGCTCACATGCCATCATGGAAACATGTATGCACTTATATGGGGTTTACTTTCATTCTTTTCAAGCCTATATTTTTACAGAAACTTGGACCTTAGATTTTTAGAAATGAGGTCTCCTTCTATTTGCTTGGCTTTACAACAATTTTAAGTAAATATTAGGGAAAGTATATGTTTACAGAAAAATATCTACAATCGGTTCAGAATTATAGTTATCTTCAAAATAGAAAACAATTTGTTTGGTTCCTTCAACCACTGCCAAACCAAGAAATAATTGTTATTTTTATCTGCACAAAAGCCCATGTAATATTGAATTCATGTGTACTAGGGACTGTACAAACCAGCACTGATGGGCTCACAATTTCAAAATACACTGAAAGTGAAGGGGGAAAGCCTAGACTACACAAGAAGAATGTGAGTTTAGGGTGGCAGTAAATGCATGTCTTGTAGGTCAAGAATTACTTCCCCTTAATAGAAAACAAAAAATATTTTAAATAATTTACTAAAATGTATGTATATGTTATTACCTGTATATGTTATATGTATGTATGTATGTAATAAAATAATATACTGTATTATTAATTGTATGTACATAAAAAACACAAATTAATTTGTATGTGTATATATACACACAGAGAGATAAATCCATTGTGTATGGATACACAATAATTATGTTAGCATGTAATAACATGTAATATGTTTATATGTTGTATTGTTAAAATTCCTAACATACAATTATATACATACACACAACAATAAATCCATGTATGCATATACATGCACAAATACATCCATTTGTGTGTGTATTATAATTATGTAACTATATGTATGCCATGTGTGTAATTACCTATATAACTTATGTTGTATGATTAAGATTCCTAATGTAACAATTATATACACACAAATCCATTTGTGAATATATATATGCATGCAAATACATTCATTTCTGTACATATTTAGATATGATAAAGTAATTATGCATGCAATTATATGTATATAATGTGTATGATTATGTATGTTGTTTTATTTAAATCCCTAATATGCAATTATATACATACACACAAATAACTCCATTTGTGTGCATATAGCTAGGCAAATCCACATACAAACACAAATGAATGGACACAAATGCGTGTGTCTCTCTCTATGTGTATGTATATGTATATATCTGTGTGTATGTGTGTAGGTATCGGTACGTGCGTGTGCGTGGATGTATGTATACATGTGTGTATATATTCACATGCATATGTATATACATGTATTAATGTGTACATATATATACACATATGTGTGTGTATATATGTACATGCATGTATGTGTGTGTATACGTGTGTGTGTATATACACACATATTTGTAAATGTTTGTACACGTGTGCGTATTTGTGTATGCATATACACAAATAGAGTCAGCTGTGCATGTGTGTGTGTATATACAATTGTATATTAGGAATTGCAATAATGCAAAACACACTGGTATGTTACCGTGCGCCTATCACGTATTTATACTATACCTCCCCATATTCGTAGTGCAACCCAACAACACAGGCTACATTGTGCCGGCCCGTCCCACTTGCTCCTCTTTGAATAGTATCATCTGTCCCTTCCTCGTCCACTTGTCTCGACGACAGCCCAGCCCCCACCTGCGGCTGCCCATCCATTGCCCCCGCCTGCGGTCCGTGGTGTGTGTCACCCCCCGTCCTGCGCGGCCGCCCCCGGCTCCCCGCTGCCCCGAGGAGAGGCGCAGGGTGCCAGGGCCGGGCTGTGGCCCCCTCCCCAGGGCGGCGGGGGGGCTCGGCGGCCCCAGTGCTCATGTGCAGAGCTGGGGACATGCTCACTACGCCGCC